CACACACACACACACACACATACACACACATAAACACACACACACATACACTATATATATAAATATGTACACACACACACATACACTATATATATAAATAATGTACACACACACACTTACACTATATATATATATATAAATATGTATTTATATACAAATACTAAGATATATACATACATTTATTTAGACTGTCGAATTAAAACGTTATCAGTGCGAGTGCTGGTGTTCGGGTGAGATCAGCGCTGATGATTGTCCACGTAATCGATTCTTGTAAAGTATTCGCTATGCTGCCTTTCTGTATATGAGACTGGGAAGCTCTCTCATCTGCACCTATGGCGTTTAGTGGAGAGGTCGCTTGGCACGTGGTGTTTGTATGCCTGCCATAGTAGATCCGGGCTATCGATGCGATTGCTCTACTTTCTATGAACGAATAGGAGAATCTTTGGTCACACTGTAATCTTGTCCTCTTTAACTGTTATACGACCTGATTTACGACAGATGAATATACCCCACGTCACCAACTGGGGCCTTCCCAAAGTCATGCCAGCCGACTGGAAAGATCCATTAACGGTTCGCCAACGAGGGCTAGTTGCGGACGAACCTGTCCAGTACCAAAAAATCAGAGCAGATATGATCATGGTACGCTAGTGCGTGTACAGATAAGTCTGTGCCATAAGGATGTTGTGCATGCGCCGCGGTGCTTGAGTGGGTGTGCTGTGGCCGAAATAAGAAGTTTCAGATTTATTCTCTTGTTCTCTTTTTGGGTGGGTATATTTACCTATTATTTCATTTTTGGGTATATACACCTATTATTTCCTTTTTGGGTATATAAATATATTATTTCCTTTTTGGGTATATACACCTATTATTTCTGCATCTTGTCGATATTGTGCACGAGATCGCGATTCAAGTTATCGCTGAGTCGATTCAGAGAGACAGAGCTGATGCGCAAGCTCAGCGCCAGTATGACTGTGCTGGCAGCTCGTTTGTGTTGAGTTTGGCATATCATCGCCCATCGGATTCTCCAAAACAAATACTGTGGAACCAGATGCTGGTCAAATTGGGTGCCTCATTAAGTAGTATATCTCGATTCCAAGGCTCTGTAGCGACATTTTATACATGTGTTCACCCAAATAGTCTCGAATAAGCACTTTATCTTGCTCATACAGCGTCTGGACCATTAAACTTGCATCACGTCTGCACGTCTGTGTAGATTGTGTGTTCTACATTCTTTTTGAGTCGTATTAAGAGGTAGGAAGAGACCACCCCCGCCCCCCCCCCCTTACAATCAATCGTTTATACGTAATACAAAAGAACATTAATCCTTGCCTATTAAGCTTGACGTTTCTTCGTTTATCAGTGCAAGCAGGTAGCGGCATTACGGTAGTCTGTATTAGCTGCTGGGGCGAATGTTGTGCTATAGCGCATGTTAGTGCAGGATAGTGATTTATGAAGCCCAACGACATCCACTCTTTAGTGACTACACCTCCTACTTCCACATGTATTACGTACAATCTCATTTGATCGCCCGAGCTTACAGTTGAATCTCTATTGACATCACAGGACTTGCTGAAGGACTTGCAAGCACAGTAGGCGACCTGTAGATGTGAGGTGCATACCTCAGACTTCCAACGAGTCACTCATGATCTTCAGGGGATCAGAACGCTGTGCAGTTTATCACTGAACGCCAGTAGAGGCAGTTGTGAATGCAGATGCCATCCGTGAAGAAGGTTTGCGAGACATTATGCACACATTCACCTGCCATCACGGTGCGACTATAGTATCCCCGGCGATTACCCGGATACCAAACCTCAAGAGACTATCGGGGGCTGCTGATTGTGACAAGGACAGGCATTCGCGGTGTATACCTGAGCAGTTGAAATGAGGAGTTCACGCTTACCTGCACCACCGGCTGGCGTCTGTCGGGTGAAAAGGACCGTTGTACGTACTCGTCACAACAAGACTGTCATCAGAAGTGTATGTACCAGGAAATCAGCAAAGAGCAAGCTCTCATCGCGCCTCATTGTGGCATGGTTGGCTGTGGGGATGGGACACTCCGCAAACCAACTAGAGACAAACGCTTTTGCGGTGCAGATTAGGTAGACGTTGGTGAGTGACATTATAACCTCTCCTGCCACCCTGTGTGAACACTGTGGGCATTGCTCAGGCCCATAAACAGCAGCACAAGTCTGTAGAGAATCTCGATACTACATTGGGTGTTTTATTTGCTATTGGGTGAAAGTGACAGTCTGACTTGTGTGACGGCTGGACCAGAACTCAGCGAGCTTCGAAACGCCAGGTCGAATTACAACGTACCTTGTGAGTACGCAGGCCATGGACCACTCGGTATCCCTACAAGGATGTAAAGAACAAATCTAGTAAACACACATGCTCGTATAAAGCCATCCCCGTTCGAAGGGATATAAGAGACTTTCAAGATCTTCCCCCTCGGTGAATGTTATTTAGGAGCCCAAACTCGTCCTTTTCGAATTTAATCTGAGCACCTTCGGACCTTGTATAAATGTCCCTCGCCTTGCATCTCTCTTTTACTTCAAGATTGTGGTAGATAGCTCAATAGATAATTGGGCATAGCTCAATAGATAATTAGGCGACGGTTTTTGGAACATAGCGACGAACTCTGAAACTTGTCTCCCACAATACTCATATTTATACTCTTCTTTGGCATGGACCTAGTCTGGAATTAAGAACCCTCTACTGTTAAAACCGTGAATTTCGAGATATCTCCATCATTTACGTCTACCCAAACGAATCTGGAAATACGAAACCGACCACGGTTTTCGCATCTCTTTCAACGCATCATTGATGGCTGTAGCAACAAAGGGACGCATTAGCGCGCCAAATTTATAAAGGAGCCCAGTTCTGGTTCATGAACAATTCCGCAGGTTTTAGCAGGTTTTAGTCCATCATGGTATTATACGACTTCAGGCAAGTGCATTGCAACAAAGCGTTTTATATTTACTATATATTAAAATATGTTGGTGGTTGTCCGCGCCCTGTAACGTGTCATTTGCTCTATTTATATTATAAACACCAACAATCAAAGCCATCGCTTCGTATTCTTTGCTCTTATATCGAAACCTTCCCGGTGGTATCTGATGCATGGATGTACAGTGTGGTCAGTGGTTAAAAAATAAATAGCACTGGGGTGGTCGTGGAATATTGCCTAATTTCCAGAAGGCTATGGAAATATGTTCAAATGTATAGCCTGCTAAATCAAACACAAAAATGTTGTCAATAAAAAGCCGTCCTCCCAGGGTTACCGGTTTCTTGTCTTGGGTTGCCGGTTTCTTGTCTAGGGTTACCGGTTTCTAGTCTAGGGTTACCGGTTTCTTGTCTTGGGTTGCCGGTTTCTTGTCTAGGGTTGCCGGTTTCTTGTCTAGGGTT